TCCGATTGGGGTTAAAGCGTCTTGTTCACAACATTTTTTTTTTCGTTCACATCCTATATGTGAATATAGATCACAATTAGGACACTGTATACGGGTACCGCGTCAATTCGTCGTGCACAATTCGTCGCGCGACAATTGATCGCAAACAACTGATCGCAGCGTCAATTGGTCGCAGCGACAACTGGTCGCAACGACAACTGGTCGCAGTCACAATTGATCGCAACACAATTCGTCGCAAGTACAACTGGTCGCATGCGACAATTGATCGCAGGCGAAAAATGATAGCGTTTATAGAGAAATAAGTAATTGTTATGAATGAGGAAAATAAATTAATGTGCTATATTCTCAAAAATTTCATTATTTCTAAAAAAAGTGTCAAAATAAATACATACGAGTTCCATAAAAACGGTAACTATTAGGCTCATTTCCGACTAAACCAAAGTGCAAAAAAGTGAAAATATTGTAAAATATTTTTTTTAATGCTGACACATCTCGTCGGTATGCTACTGTAATGTTCATTTGGATTATTCGTCTTATTGATTAGACGCTCAAGTAAGTGATTCATGTTTTTTTTCTCACAAGTTTAAAATTTGTCAATTAAACGAGTGAAAAAAATAGCTTTCAAAACGTGTTAGACGTCATTTTTCTTTAATAAAAAATGGTTTTAAGATTATTACAACTGTCAAATTAAAAAGTTATAGATAAATCGTGAAAAAACTCTCGTTGCAGTTTTAAGTGAAAAAGTATTATTTTCATTACGTTTGATAGTTTAAAAAATTAAATATATATATTTTTTAATAAATTTGGTGCAAAGAAATTTGAATTTATATATTAACAATTAATCTTGGAATTTATTGCATTCTTTGCAGACAATTTTTTGCTCACTACAAATTAGTTCTGGATTATCTTTAATCCATGATAAAACCAAAGATGTTTTTTCATTCAGAACTTTTTTGAACGCTCACACTGTTAATAAGGCGCTTGTAGATACGACAGAATGAATAATTTATCTCGTTCCCTTTGCTAAGTACCTACATACCAATCTCCACTTTTACGCCATTTCTGTAAACAAGATCGTAAAAAGATTAGTTTTGAGCATGGAGCAAAGGAATATACTCATACTGGAGGAAGTGCCAGACTTAAAATGATGGTTTCGAGCCAAACCGGTAAAGTGTCATAAACAGTACCCCTCATTACCCAGATAAGACTGCCGATGACAGTGACGTACAGTTTTTTTTTTTAAATGGCTCATGGAATAAACATTGTTGAATAAAATAACGGACATAACAGATTTATAATATATATTTATTAATATTATTTAAAATATTAAAATCAATCATCACGAATAACAAGTAATACAAACAGTGAATACCGTTAAAAAGTACAAATAACCAGGATGACGAGGCCACTGAGTAGTGGTTATTCGCAATGGCGTGACTAATTTTTAGCTTGGGAAGTTTGAAAAGTTTTCACTCGGAAGGCCGACTATTCACTCAGAATTATTTGCCTAATCTCTTCTCCAGCCCATGTTGTAACTTTTTGTAGGATGCAAAGTGCGGAGAAGAATAAAATCAGGTAGCAGCCCGTAGTAGGGTCATTCATGGAAAACTGCGAACCAATTATTTATTCCTTTTTTTTAGATCTGAGAGCTGTTTTACACGTCACAGAAATATCTATCGTAAAAGGAATTTTTAGAAATAATTTTCTCGTCATTAATCGGTTGCAAAAGATCAAGAGGCACTCGAAGCAAGCCCTGACAAACTTATTAGCGGCGCCAGCGGAGATCTCCAATTGGCTGCGGTACCACCATGGACACTCGCGTAACCTCCTTTTCCAGAATTGTCAAAATGACATTGCCAAACTCAAAGCAATCATGAATTAAGCATTTCATTTTAAATTCTGTTAGTATCAAGTGGTACATGGTATTCTTATTTTGGGTTGCGTAAAAATAATTTTCAGAAATAATTTTCTCGTGACTAACCCTGTATATTTATTTATTTATTTATTTATTTATTTATTTATTTATTTATTTATTTATTTATTTATTTATTTATTTATTTATTTATTTATTTATTTATTTATTTATTTATTTATTTATTTATTTATTTATTTATTTATTTATTTATTTATTTATTTATTTATTTAAAAATGAAATAAGGCAGAGGCTGGAGCCTGTTATGCCCAAGGGACAGTTGTTACAAATTAATTTTATTTACATCCTATGTATTATCAGTTATGATGACCGACGAATCAGGTATCTAGTGCTATCTTGAAACTGATTAAAGAAGAACTTTCGATTATATTTGGAGATAGAGAGTTTCAAATACCGAAAACCCGCTCCGGGAGGAAGAATTGTCTCATTCTTGTTTTGGAAGCATATTTACGTAGCTTTAGTCGATGCCCTCGTGTTCTTGGATCAGCAGATGTTGAAAAAAGATGGCGAATAGGCGAATCGAGTTGCGATAATATTTTGAAAGTCGTGATAACATCTCCTCTAACTTTACGGTGTTCAATTGTCGGTAATTTCATTATCTTAAGACGATCTTCATAGCTAGGACGATGAAAACTAAAAGGAATACGGGTGATGCGACGTTGAACGGACTCCAGCAGCTGTTTGTCCCTAACAAGAATTGGATGCCAAACTGAATTGGCGTATTCTAGTATTGGGCGTACATATGTCTTGTGCAGTTTTGCGATAATTTCGATGGGGGCACAGGGGAAAGCTTTTCTTATCAAATACCCAATGGAGTTAGCTTTTTTGACAACAGATAAGATGTGAGAAGACCAGGACAAATCTTCTGTAATGGTGATGCCCAAGTCAATCTGCGACGATACACACTGCAAAACGTGGCCACCAAGATTATATTGCATTTTGGGATTGTTCCTACCTAGATGAAGTACACAACATTTTTTCATATTGAAGGGCATAAGCCATTTTTGCGTCCATGCATAAAGTGTTATTAAATCCGCCTTTAAAACATTATAATTCTTCGAGGTATTATACAATTTCAAGTCGTCAGCGAATAGAGCGAAAGGACTGGAAAGTTCTACGGTAAGATCGGCGATATACACTATGAATAGTATGGGGCCTAAAACTGTTCCTTGTGGAACCCCACTTAGGACCTTTTGTGAATTACTAAGGCATCCATCAATTTTAACTCTATGTATTTTTTACACCCACATATGGTACAACTGAATTTTTCTTCAGTACAATACTAGTCACATAATAATAATTAAAAAATAAGTTTTTAGTTGCATAAGTACCTACATTTCTTAGATTTCCCGGTAACACAAAATTATTCTTGACGCTCTAACAAAAGTTTTTGCAATATATATCTACAATACACGTAAACCTTTCTCAAACCCTGTAAAAGATCCGTTGCAATTTACAAGGAATTAAAATAAGAATTATATCCGTCCAGTGGAATTTATATTCGCTGCATATTGATACTCTAGATGTACTATTAGTTCATAAATTTTATTGTTTGGTGATATGTATAAAGACAAGAATGAACAATAGAGGCAATTCTGTATCAAAATATGTTAAAATTTAAAGGTTGTTAAAAATATGATTTTTTAAATAACTGTAATCTAGTTAAGAACAATAAACACTTGTTTTTATGTTGAGTACTTATTATAATGAAGCTAGTTCCTATAATATATTTAATAGGTAAAATAAGCAACGAGATAAATAGAAACAATCTCTTAAAAAAAAATAACCAAAATGACAATTTATTAATAAAAAATCTTATGTAACAAGATGTTTACGCTCGTATTTTTTAAATTTTAGAGTGCAACTACAAACTTCGTCACTTATCTATATTCAAATTGTTTTTAATTCGATATTTACACCTTACCTGGTTGCTAAATTTATTGCAACTTAAAATTCATAATACAAAATATTTAGTTTTAATAAAAGAAAATACTTCCCGATGAATTTTACCTTGCGATCAATTGACGCTGCGATAAATTTACGTACGATCTATTGTCGCTGCGATCAATTTACGTGCAATCAATTGTCGCTGCGATCAATTGTCGCCGCGATCAATTGTCGCGTGCGACCAATTGTGCTGCGACGAGTTGCTTGCGATCAATTGTCGCGCGATCAATTGTTTGCGACCAGTTGTCGTAGAATCCTGTATACGCCCTTTCACAGCAGGAGTGTTACAAACGAAGCACAAAACTTTACTTTCACCTTGCTTATCCGCCATGTTGAGAAAAAAAATATTGAGACATTGAGATTTGTCTCGCTTTAGTATACATGCCATGTTTTAAATAGTTTAAAAAATAGTATTTACTTCCATATTAGAAATAAATGAGGATAGTTAGGGACGGACGGAAGGAAAAACATAAAAATTAACAAGAATATTGCAACTGTAACACAATAGTACTATGATAATTGATAAATTACCAACTAACAAAGTTGACAATTGACTTTATTTTATTTTTATGATTGCTTACTTTACATACAAAGCCCGGACTCCACATAACTTTTGACAGAAAGCGACCATTTGCATGAAATTTAACACACGTGCTCAGAAAAGTTGTTATAATTTTTGATTTCCTTGTGACTTTACGGCATACAATTTTCTTATATTATCTGGGTTTTGTGCGACGATTTATCTTGGACTTCAGAACTTTAATTCATCAGAATGGCGAACACGTGAACGATATTACATATTCTATTTCCATTGTGGTAAATGCGTAATATTAGTCCTAAATCTTGTTCAAAATAAATAATATAAAACAAACATTGAAATAACGTTAGTTTAGTTGAGTGAAGCATATTTAATTAAAAAAAATATACTTATATCCTTACCTAGCCAACGCATTACTGTGTTGTCTTAAAGAAATGAAATTTTGTCAATCGTTTCGGATTCATCCCACTCTTTGTATTTTCAAAAACAAAACGATGATTTCAAAATAACGGTGGTTAATACAATTTTTTTGTAGTTTGGATAAGTTCAAAAAAAAGAACACAAGATGAATATTTTATTTAATTAAGATTTCGTGGCTACGATTTCACTAATAGCCTTTACAAGATCTGGACTATTTAAAATTGTTACATGATCAGCATCTATTGTAGTTACTTGTACCAGGCCATCACTTACTTTTGACATCTGATAATCATCTCCTTCGTCTACCATCGAATATTTTGCTTTGAACAGATGTACTGGTGATTTAACTTTCTTATTTTTAAATGTATAGTTAAGTAGAGCTTTACAACGGCTGTATAGTGCAAGACCTGCCTGTTTTTTTAATTTTTGTTTGTTACTTGTTTCGGGTGGTAATAATGCCAGTAGCAAATCCATTCGTTCTTCTAAATTTTTGCACTTGAGCAACGTTTCCTAAAAGAAGCGCATGCGCACTGTAGTTATATAAATGGAATTAACTAGATTACCAGTTACCTCATATTGCGACAATGCATCCAACGGAATCACAAAAGTAGCAATTTTGCTAAAAATTGCAGTTTGGAACTGAGCATCTGTGTCGTGTATGAACTGTTTTTTTAGAGAAGACGTTATATATGCTGGTGAACCGTCAATTAAAATTATCGTACCATTATAGCCTTTCGCTTCAAGTAAACTAATCAATTCTAGACCGACTCCAGTCCCAAATGAATATCCGACAATGTAGAAGGGAATTTTTCTGGATAAATAATTTTCAATGTGCTGAAAATATAATACATGTGTAATAAAGCAACTTTAAAATGTATAAATTTTAGCAAACCGGCAGTGTATTCTGAGCAATTTCTTGAATGCTGTCTTCTGGATTGTTATAGTTGTACTGTATTCCTATTACGTCAGCTTTTAATGAATTTGCCAAATACTCTAGTGGTTTGAAGACGCCTTCCAGTCCTGGTAACAGAAACACGACTGGAGCTTCTGCGTATGAATCTATTTGACTTTTCAATTTTACAATAGGCAAGTCACCAGTTTCACTATTGGGAATATATTGAATGAGCAAATTTGTGCCTTCCTCCTTTTTCTTGTTTACAACTTCTTCAGATTTATTCATTTTCTCTGCTTCTATTTCAGTTAGTCTAAAATTCAGTGCCACATCAATAACAACATTTTGTTAATGGCGTAATAATTACTTCGCGAATGTTAAAGTTCTCACATCTTTAGAAGTCACATAAATTTCAAAATCTTTCTCTAAAAGTTGAATAATCTCTGTACCCATCATCGAGTCCATACCGAGTTCTGCAAATGTCGTATACTGACTGATGGTTTTCATGTCGTTTATTCCTAAAACACGAGCAACTGCTTCTACTGCACTCAGAATGTCGCTTTTATTATTTTTTTCGGCAACTACCATACTAGAAACAACTGGATAGTTATGTGTTAATAAAATATCTAACACCTCAAGACAGCTTGAAATTTTTTGTTGAAGGGTACCACCAATCACTAACTCCTTATTCTCCTTTTGCATTTTCGCTACCAAACCGACCTTTAACATGTTTGTAATCTTACGAAGTCTTTAAAAATTTGTTAAGTACTTCACCAATTGCGCCCCATTGGATAGCCACAGCTGGTAATCCTTCTCGTTTTCGATTCTCACATATCCTTTCCATAACAGAGTTTGCCATACCGTAGTTGCTTTGACCCGGATTCCCACGACCGCAGGATACTGACGAAAATATAACAAAATACCTAAAATATATAATCAGAACCAAAAGGCACATCTAAGTTAAAAATAAACCTCAATTTTCGGCACAATTTCCTAGTAACGCGATCCAAATATAGTGTAGCGCGAGCTTTTGGTGCTAACGAAGCTTCGAAGTTTTCTTGAGTTTGATTTTCAAATAGTGCATCTTTAAGAACTACAGCTAAGTTAAAAATAGCGTCGACAGGTCCAAGCTCATTCGCGTCTTTAATTAAATCTTCACATCCTTGTTCGGTGGTTACATCTTTCGTAGATATTTTAACTTGGACACCGTATGTCCTCCAAATACTAAAATGATGGGTTATATCTTTAGTGCTTGAAGAGATTATAATTTACTTAATTCTGTGCTGATGGTAACCACTTTGAACTCCCGATCTCGAAGTTAGTACTAGTTTTCGGGCACCTCTTAGCACCAACCAGTCGCTTAATTCTAGACCAACTCCACCTAGCCCTCCAATAACGACGTAGGAGTAACGCAGGTCACAGTGGAAACTTAAAAAGATAATTACATTCATGTTGCATCTACATGGACATCTTGTAGTAAGATTTTAAATGAAATAGTTCATAAGTGTGTGTAAAAATTCATTCTAATGCCTCACATTCCCTACTTGACGTGCTTCCCTTTCTTCAAGGTTCAGAACCGCGAAGAACTTAAAAATGAAACGTAGCATAACTGACTATTTATTTTTCGATACCATCAGTCAAAGCTCAAAAGCAAGATATCCGGGGCTTTCAACTTCAAAAGCTATACTGAACGAAATGCAGATTGAAGATGAGGATAAGGAATGGCATGCAGCTGAAGAGGACGTAACTCTTTTGAGTGATGTGGAAATCGATGAATGGGATGAAGAAGATGATTTGGAATCTGAAGACAAAATCGGTGTATCAGAACCGACATCTTTACCATCTAGGTCTCTCAAAGCACCGGGACCAGCTGATATTTCACAACTAGTGTCTGATGGACCTTATTAACTAGATACATTTAAAATTTTGCAAAACAACGAAATTATTATTAAAGAATTCGACGTTGCTCACAACTATCTTCGAATATTACTTTATTAGGGTTAGTCACTTTTTTACTTCCATGAGTGCTCAGCTACGATTTTGAGCCCCCCCCCCCCTTGAATTTCAGATGTACCTGTAAGCTTTTTTGACAACTTAACGTGAATAATGTGAATAACGAACAACAAACAAGTGATCGTTTATGTGAGGAAGAAAGACCGTACTCATAGCTATCGCTTAAATTTCCTGAAAATTTCACAAGTTTGTAACCAAACTAGACCGATTTCGAATTTTGGCCACATAATTCTGATGTCATTTAGCCTGTTATTAATGGTAATTTACCTTGGATTTGACATCATCTTGAATTTACTGACACTATCTGCTTCATTCCGCAGCTTGATCAATATTCTTCCAATATGTTTGCCTGTCATCATGTATCTGTATGACTTTTCAACTTCGTCTTCATTAAACACAATCCTAGGAAGTGGTTTTACAAAACCTGCTTCTATTCCTTCTACTAAACGTTTTACCACTGTAGTTTTCATTTCTTTAAAGTTTCTAAAAACGACATCTAACAATATGCCATGATAGCTAGCTTCTTTTTCCATGAGCAAAAGATTTAAAGAACTGTCATTCGCCAAATCGTATTTGCCAATTTCCATGAACTTTCCTCCTCGTGCTAAACATCTGATAGAAGCTTGGAGTTTATCCTCACTTAGAGAGTTCAAAATCATGTCAACTCCTTTATTCTGGGTCTCTCTTTTGATCATTTGTTCAAATGAGGTGTCTCGTGAATTTCCAATATGGTTGTCTGGAATTTGTGGATAATTATCTTTTAAATAAGCTCTCTTTTCCTGAGTGCCGACAGTTACGTAAATGACACATTTATAATGAAGACAAATATTTAGGGCAGCTAGTCCAATACCACCAGTAGCTGAGTGAATAAGAACTGAAGAACCCGGTGTCAAATCGCCAACCTTGAAAACAAATTATTCCAGAAATGAGTTTGTTCGTACACGTACCACTAAAAGAGCATAAATAACAGTAGAGTACACGACAGGAACCGTCGCTGCATCTTCAAGTGTCCATGAGTCAGGTATTTTCCAAATTAAGGAAGAATCCAAAGTAACATAGGACGAAATACCTTGATCGTTAGTCATTCCCGCTATTCTTCGGCCACTGTAAATAAACTGCGTAACTTTGTTGTTTTTTCCATTAATTAACACCACCTTAAATCTGCTCCTGAAAATTCAAATCCTATTAGAATTTCTTGTCCAAGTCGATGGGGTTGTAATATTTCGGGATTTACACGTCCAGAAGCGGCCATAATATCTTTAAAGTTAACTGACGAATAACATGTCTACAAAGAGTAATCATTTAAAAAAAACTATAATTTATATAACTTACTGAAACCAAAAGCTGTCCTTCTTTTGGTGGTACTTCTTTAGATAAAGGTCCCTCTAACCATTCGAAACTGGATATGTCTCCTCTCGATTTAAAATATGCGTAAGAATGTTCACAGTTGATCTTCGGTTTCTCTTCCAAAACCAAATGTCGATATGTTCCCCAAGATTTATCCTTATAAATGTTCATAGCCAAGTTTTTACTGATTTGTTTACTATAAAACGGATGTTGGGGATCAAATTCAGGAGCATCGTCCATCATGAAGAAACACTTAACTAAGTTTCCATTGGGTTCTCGCCTGATGCAATTTATTAAACCCAATATTCCTTCGGGATCCCGATTTGTCGCATGAGTTATAACATCTTTTCCAAGATTTAAAGCATTTTGTAACACCGGGAGCCAACTGACATTACTCGAAGATACTTCAATTAACTTGGGTTTATAATTTTCAACTTTTTTCTTCATTAAAAATATTCTTTCATTGGGTGTTACATACTCAGTTATAATGTCTACTTCACTGATGTCGTTTTCTAAACTGAAACTGATATCTTCTCGTGTTAGGATAAATCCATTTTTGCTAAGAGGCACCAAACATTGTTTTAAAGTATTTAGTTGTAGAATTTTACTTCCAACGTATAAAAGTATGCTGCTTTCTTGTGTTAACGTTACATTTTCGAATTTCATACCAGGTGTCTCAGTTATGGTTGTTTTTGACGAAATGGTTAGGTCAGGAGTTAGTAAAGGGATATGTTCTAAGGTTTTATTGACAAAACCTAAGATGTGTTCAGCATTTGGGTCCGTGAATTCGTTGATGATTTCCACAGCTTTGAACGTGGACTCTAAACTATTTTCTAAGATTATCTGCGTGTTGACTCTCACTGCTTCTTCTAAACCTAAAGAGTAATTATTTGGGACAAACACGTTCTTTTCTAAAACTGGTTCCAGTAGTGTTTTTTTCTTGAAAATGGATTTTACTTGTACTCCATGAATCTCAATTCCTCCAGACCTAAACAAGCCAAAATTCTTTTTTAACTGTAATATTAGTGAACAGTTTATTTACTTGATGAAGTTGCAATTCTTGTTCGCATAAACAGGTAGAAGACAATCTTTGGCATCCTGTTCGTGCACAATGTCAATATGTTGTAATGGATCTATAATTATTTTCTTAATTCCAATAGGAACGAAAAGCAACCTCGTGTCAAACTGAAGAATTTTCATCTGAAGCATATTATCCATAAAAGCGGACCAATTGTTCTCCCATTTAATCAGTCCTATAGAAGCATCTGCATTGCATCGTTTAATTGATTTGAATAAACCGCTGAAAATATTATGTAACGAGCTCTGCTTTCTTGTTGTCAAACCAACCTGTAATTGTAGCCTCTTAAGTAAAATTCTCGATAAATATCGTCTTGTTCCAATATTTCTAATTTATTGTCACTCAAAGAATCAAAATTTGGTAGATTAACTTGTTGTTGACTTGCATTTGGACATGATTGGATTCGACCACTAACAATTATCGAATCGTTTTCTAAAATTTCAAATTTGCCTGTTCCCCTTTGAACCGTTACAAGCAATTTTACGTAACCACTCTTTGGCATTGTAACAGCTCTGATAAACTTACAGTCTTCAAATAATACAGGAATATCCGACGCTAATAATCGTCGACTTTGTGCATACGTTTGCCAAACTAAATGTAAATATTCGGTAGCAGGGAGAAGGTTACGTCCTAAAAACGTTTATAATGTTAGTAACTTATGGTCAAAAGAAAACCCTGCTAAAATGCTATGAAACTTATTTTTACTTCCTAAGTAAGCTAAGAATCGAGTTCATCGGGCGATTGGCTACTTTCACATTGCATGCATTGACTTGTTTTAAATAATAAATTTCAAAAGCTTCTAGACGAGTTTCTTTCTCGTGCCTATGGTGTATTACGTAGTGCAGGTTTATACTTATCAATTACCATCAATGCAATGGCCATTCACAAACTGATGGTCCTCGTATAACAATGAAATTCTGTGTACTCTCTGTTCAGCGTCCCATGACGTAAAGTCACTAAATTTGTATGTGTCCCATGATTTCTCGTGATTCCATTGAACAGAAGGTGAGACCATTGAGGTGCCTCTACTTACAGGGAAGTTTATTTGAGGGTACAATTTGTGAACTTGAGGAAGGTAACCTTCTGTATATAATCTACAAATTCAATTTGCGTTGTTTAAATTTCATTACTCCAAAATTCTTACCTTCCCAACAGACCCAGTAAATTGACGTCACTATTTTCCACTAGTAAATTATCTTCACCATTGAGTGACAGATCGGATACATTCAGTATTACTGTGCTTTTCGATGATTTAAGACAAGTTTCAAGAGTTAAATAATCCTCCCTCATTAGGTTTTTATCTTTAGAATCCACTAAGCTTGGTAATGTTTGGAAATTCATATTAGAATCAGACTTTATTTGACTAAATTGTATAGCTGCTGACACAGCCTCTTTCAATTGAATAACATTGTAATAATAAGCAGTAACGATTTTGCCAGAAGCGTCACCGGAAACGCAAGTGGGAAACAATTCCAAATTTTTGATAATATCTACCAAAATTAACTGCACACATATTGACCCTAACGCATCTTCATTTACTGTCTTATCTTCTAAAATTTCTTTAAGCGTTTTTACTTTGTTGAGTACCAAAATTTGATTGATGCTTTTGTCAAAAAAAAATCAGTTTAGTTAAAAACCCACAAATGAAATGTCTACATACCTTGCTTCGCTGCATTCGAAGATCGAAAATTTCTTCAAATATGAAGCTAGTATTCGGAAATTATTGACGAATTGTCCAAAAAATACGTGCAAGTGTGGTTTTTTAGAAGGCATTAATTTTGACGACATCGACACTACGCCACGTTTTGAAACGACTGCATATCCTCTATATAAATGACTTGGAATATTAATTTTATACAACTGATGGAGCAAACCAACGTATTCTTCATCCAAACTTTTGTTACCAACATCGTTTAAAATTTTCAAAACTGCTTCATTAGTGCGACCACTGACACAAATTAATCTAGGAACATCATCTTTCGGCAGTCCACCATCGATTTTATGTTTTTTAAATCTTTGTAGTACCATATGACAGTTGTTACCACCGAAACCAAAGTTGTTAACACCTACAACAGCATCATGCTCTAAAAGCTCAGTAGCTTCTGTCACAACTCTCATTCGGTTTTGTTCAATCCCTTCCAGTCCTTTACGTACTCTTGTCAAGTTGATATTAGGTGGTATAAATCCGGTTTCCATTGCAATCAGTACTTTTACGACTGAACACAAACCTGAAACAGGTTCAGTATGACCAATGTTTGATTTTACTGAACCTACGAGAAGCTGTTTTTCACATTTCTTCGCCAAAGCTCTATCTATAGCATTAGCTTCTTCAGGGTCACCAGCTTGTGTACCAGTACCATGTGCTTCGACGTAGCTCAGTTTTGAAAACTTAATGCCACTTTCTTTGTATATTTCACTCATAAGTTCTTCTTGCATTTGCGATGAAGGATATGTTATCCCTTCCTTTTTAAACCCGTCGGAGTTTACTTTCGTATTCATAATTTGTGCGTAAATTCGTTTCGCATTTTTAGACTTTTGGAGAAAAAGACATGTACAAGCCTCACTTCTAACATAGCCGTTTGCGTCCTGATCAAATACTCTGGGTATTCCATCCGAACTTAAAACTCCTAAGCTAAAAATGTGTTATTGTAATAAAGAAATTGTTATATTGTATAAATATGGAATTACCGAAAAAATTGAATTGTAGCCCCAGGATGAGTAATCAAGTTGCAGCTAGCCACTATTGCAGCTTCACATTCACCACTTCTCATAGCTTTAAACGCTGTATGAAGAGCATTCCCAGAACTACTACAAGCTGTGTCAACTATGAATGATGGTCCTTTTAGTTTCAAATAATAACTGAGACGATGAGCAAACAAAGATTTAAAAAAGCTGAAAAAAAACATTGTCGATTTATTTTGGTGAAAATGAGATACAGTACTCTTCTACACAAAAAATCGCCAATGTAAGCTGCAAACAGTGGTGAAAAGACAATGAGTTATTCTGCAAAGTGTGAAAAGTTGTAAGTAAACATTTAAAATACTGAAGCTTGAATTATGTTCACATTTCCTAGTTTAAGTGCGAAAACAAATCACACTTTGAACAACACTGCAGTGGCGATGCAGATAAAAAGAACAAGAATAAATCCAGTAAACAGACTTTAGTAAACATTAGTTCCGACAATGATTTAAAGCAATTTTGCACCGATTTATGTAGGGCATTTACCGCAGCAAATATTCCATGGAATAAATTATTTACCAAAAGATTACGATATGGTGAGCACTAGAATTTTTATTTAAAAACTTTTTAACATAAATTTTATAATTTACAGGTAATTAAACAAATTAGAAATTCTGTTGGCAATAATGATATATGGATTAGCGTCGATGAGACGACGGATAGATTAGCAAGATGCATAGCCCATTTAGTAATTGGAAAGTTATCTTCTGAAGAAGCTGGCCGTCCATTTCTACTAGCTTTGAAGCAGCTTGATAAAACTAATAGCAACACAATCTCGAGAATTATAAACGAATCATTGGGTGTGCTATTGATAATTTTAAGCATTGAAATTATTATAATTTATTCAATTGTTAATTTGTAGCTTTATTGTGGCCAAAAGGAACTGAACACAAAAAAGTTAAATGGTTTGTATCAGATGGTGCTTCATACATGATCAAAACTGGTACTAATTTGAAGGTGTTTCATGAAAATATAACACACTTAACATGTATGGTAAATGGGTTACATTTAGTGTCTGAAACAATTAGACTGAATTATCCAGATGTCAATGGGATAATTAGCAATGTTAAGAAAATATTTTTAAAAGCACCAGTAAGAGTAGAGTTTTATAAAAACAGTTTACCAAATACACCTCACCCACCAGAACCTGTATTAACCAGGTGGGGCACTTGGATTTAAGCAGCATTGTTTTATGCAGAACACTTTGATGTTTTAAAACACGTCAGTAAATATCTAATGGTTTTTTACTATCATTCTTATATTGAATATTTTTAGGTTGTAATGTCATTTGAAGCCACAGATGCACAAAGCATTAAAAAAGCTCAAGAATTCCTGAATAAAGCAATTTATTATTATTATTATTATTATTATTTGAAATTGAACAACAGGTACATGACCCAATAACAGTCCAATTATTAGTGAAACTGATATTACCGACAGCTAATATAGCACAGCTATCATACTGTGGTGCCCTAAAGGTATATTAGTCAGCTAGCAGGTGAATATTAAAACAGTTCAAAGATATCACAAAACTGGTGGTAGTTGTTGCACATCTCGCTAATGGGAGAGTATTTCAGTACATTAAGACGAGGAGTGGGTAGGTAAAACAAGTTTGGATGACGTAATGTTAATAGCGGTGAGTGGAAATTAATCTGACCGAGTAAAGGAGGGCAATCAATATTTGAATTAATAAGTTTTTTCAAAAAATTTAGCGAGGCTTTGATGCGCCTAGGTTTCAAATCATGAAACCCAAACCTCTCAAGCAGTAAGTTTTGAGGGTAACCCCTAGGAGGATAAACTCCATCCAGTCTGAAAACCAGGAATTTCAAAAAACGCCTCTGAATTTTTTCAAAGATATCAATGTGAATATTCGCCGACGGAGCCCATACAACACTACCATACTCTAGCTTTGATCTTACAAAAGCAAAAAATAGAGATATAAATGTACTTATGTCTTTAAAATCTTTGCAGGATCTAATAATGAATCCTAAGTTCTTGAGAGATTCATTAACAACGGCATCATAATGCAACGAAAATGTAAGTTTGGGATCAAACATAATGCCCAAATCTTTGAAGTAATGAACGCGTTTTAAGACTGTACTGCTGATGGTATATATATTAGTTATAACAAAGTTTTTGTTTGTAAAGGTCATTACATGGCATTTATCCAAATTAATGGGAAGGTTATTACAAGCACTCCAGTTATAGAATTCATTGATATCTTTTTGAAGTAAATAGCAGTCATAGTTGGAAGATACGCGCCGAAACATTTTTAGATCATCAGCAAGCAATAATACTTCGGAACCGATTCTTTTTACTACATCATTAATGAAGATGGCAAAAAACAATGGTCCTAAAACAGAACCTTGTGGAACGCCAGATAAGACAGGAACTTTGTCAGAAACATGACCAAGGTACTTAACACATTGCATTCTTCCCGTTAAATACGATTTAATCAGCTTCACTAAGCTATCAGAAAATCCAAAATTGCGTAGCTTAATTAATAAGATAGAATGATCAATCCTGTCAAACGCCTTTGAAAAGTCAGTATACACCACATCCAGTTGCTGTTTAAATTCAAACGATTCAGATACATATTGGGTGAAACAAACTAAGTTGGTAATAGACGACCTTCCTTTGATAAACCCATGTTGTGAATTACTTAAGCTGCTACGTACATGAAAGAATAAGAACTTATGAAGAAAAATTTCAAAAACTTTTGAAAAATTAGATATGAGTGAGATGGGACGATAGTTAACAATATCATCACTTTTACCCTTTTTACAAACAGGAGTAATAATAGAATATTTCCACATATCAGAAAATGATAAAGTTTTAATTATTAAGTTAAATATAATAGATAACGGATAAGCAAAAACGGCCGCACAATCATTAAGTAAAAAACCAGGAATATTATCATAACCAGAAGTTAAGTTAGGCTTAATTTTTTTCAACGCCGCATAAGTATCTGACTCATTTACAAAAGCTAGATGAATGGTAGTATTCACGGACCCATCAACAAACTTATTCGAATTGACATTGGCAGCGCTAGTGAACCCTGAACTAAAGTGGTCAACAAAAGCATTAAGGATATCTTTTGGATTATCAATTAATCGATTTAAGTAATTCATCTGCAAAGGTATTCCAGATTGTTTCTTTAAGTTGCTAATGTGACTCCAAAATTTATTAGGATTTTCTTTAATATCAGTTTCCAGATTCTCAAGATATCTGCAATGTGCCAACTTGATGTCATTCTTTAATGAAGAGCGAATAGTCTTAAAATTGCGAATGTTATATTCAGATCTGTTGGTTCTAGACAAACGCCATAATTTGGACTTCAATTTAAGTTTCTTTCTAATGTCATAGGAGAACCAAGGTGGATACGAGCTTAAACGAGAGGAACGAGACTTGGGAACATGTACATCCAAAATGTTGTTTAATTTACTATAAAAACAGGAACATGCTAAGTTAACATCAGTGATGCTTTTAAGAAAGGACCAGTCAATGCATAATAGATGCTCATACAACCCAGTAACATCCGCTCTACGAAAATTCCAACGCTGCAAGGAGGGATGACCGTTAATGGTTTTAGCTTTAGATTCTCGATTTTTAAAAGAAGCTAACAACGATGGGTGATGTGAATCCTCTTCCAGAAGAGGATCTTCACAAGAGCTAATAAAACAATGAAAGTTAGACAGAACCAGATCAAGATATCTCCCAGACTTATTAGAGATATTATTATATTGATTAAGTTCAAAAAAGTTCAAAAAAGACATCAACGAAGATAATTTACTGTTGCCAAATTTATCACACAAAGAATCTTTGTCATAATCAGGAAGATTGAAATCACCAATAATTATTACACGTTGGTTGAATAGTTCTTCTAGATTACCTAGTAAATTGAACAATAGTATGTATTCATCAACCGTAGATTTAGGTGGAATATAAACAATGAAGATATAGAAACTGAAATAGCCAACACTACATTTAGCCCCAAGAATGTCTGTGAAAATAAGCATGTCAAACCCTTTAGACGCCAGGTCAAGTTGAATAGTTGAAAATTGCAACTTGGATGCAAGAAAAACTCCTCCTCCTCTAGTTACATTAGTTTTATCAAAATTTCTGTCTGATCTGAGGACTATATAATTGTTAGGGCAAAATTCAGAGTTAAGCACAGAACTAGAAAGCCAAGTTTCTGTAAGGCAAATAAAATCAAAATCGCAACACAATAAAGATTGATAAAGTTCATTAAATTTAGAGTTAATACCACGAGTATTTTGATAATAAAGTGTGATAAATGCATCCTCAACAGTTTTAACTATAGAAGGAGAAACAACAACAACAGAATTCTCGATTGATATGTCGCTACTAGACTGCAATGATGATAAATTTAGGGAATGGAATGAATCTGCAAGGAATAATTGCTATGAAGATAAGCCAAAAACATCACGTTTTATTTTGTTAATAGCAGCACTATATGAATGGCAGTTATCTCGGTCCCAAGCAGCATGATCATCATTTATTTGATCATGATTACCAGACGATTTCATGTTGGTACAATTTATACGACGCAGCTTCTCGGCTTGACACTCTTTAACACCATGGTTCCCAGCACAGCGAGGACAGATAACATTATTTTTGCAAGAGCTGGATGAATGGTTAAAACCATTACAAGTGAAACACCGGAAAATATCAATACCACAAAAGATATAACATCTGTCTAAACCTATTAGGCAGTGCCCTATGCTAATGGCTTTTTTATAGGAGGCGATATCTACTTCAACAATTACTTGAAAACGGTCAGACTTATTTTTCACAGGCAAAAATTTAATCAACTTGTATACATTCTCTTCATCGTTGCTAAAAATAAACTCATTTTGTTTGACCAAAAAATCCAGAACACTTGATTCACTAACATACGCTCCCGCAAGTTTATCATCAGCTAGACGTTTAAATCTAGTTATATCCTGACATCCAAGAAGAATACCGCCATCTTTAAGATTTTTTACTTTGCTAACAGAGGATGCAACAGAATCAATATTTGCCATAATGTCAGATTTAGTCTTATTGATGGTCTGAGATTTATCTTTGGGACGAACAATAACTGTATTATTTATGCTCTTAGCTACTGTTTCCGCGTAAGTTTCCCTGGCTGAAGTAGCAGAAGACGTGGGCACATGATCAGGAGTTTTATTCGAGCTACCATTATCTCTAGCAAGTTTTACAACATCTTCCCGGAGCTGAGTATTCTGATTACTTAATTGCTGTATCTCAGACTTAAGAGAATCAATTTGCTGAATAAGTGGCTGCAATTCCTGATTTATAATGTTGGTAACCAAATGTTTTAATTCAGCAACAGAAACGGTAACTATTTCGTCATCAGCAGAATCAGTTTGTATACCAGTAGATGAAGTATTTTTTTCAGTTTACAAAATAAGCACAGCCACTTATTAAGTAACTCTTTATCATCCATACTTTGATAACTTTCTACTGTTAAGCCACCGCATTTTATGTGATAATAATGTTTACACTGATTGCATGATACATTCAAGTCATTGCGCCCAATCTTAAGGAAACATTTACTGCATTTAATAGTCATAATTAAGGCGTACTATAACTAAGAAACTATATGCACAACCTCCAACGAAGGCCGTGCACAAGAAAATATCAGTAAGGTCAGTACAATTCCAGTGATAGTAACCAAAATACAATTAAAACAAAAATAGTAAAAAAGATGGCAGAAAAGAAAAATTAATAACTAGAGATTAATTATGCAAACCAAGATTACCCCCACAGGGGCAGAAATCCAAAATTGAACACTATTCACAGACCGCACACCAGTACACGTGTTGCACGCACCGCGAACGGAGTAGAAGTTCTTTTCTTTATTGCAGATGCAATAGAACAATTAGATACTATAGGTTTAAAATTAAACCAAAGTATGGAAATTGTGGAAAAAGTGTATACATCTTTAAAAAACACACCAGGAAAGGTGGGGGAAATGGCGTTCCAAAAATTATGTTCTCTATTAAAAAAGAATCCAGGATACGATTTTATATGTTCAATAAATAACGTAATTTGCGGTAATGGAAATGCTACCAACAATACATACATAAATGAAAACGTAGATTGTTCAATATTTAATTTTGCACCCATCACTTCTTGTGATGTGGAGCGCACGTTTTCAAAACTTAAAAGTGTTTTAAGCGATCAAAGATGTAAATTTATAATCGAAAATTTAGAAAAATATATAGTTTGCTTTTGTAACTCATTTTAAATACCGGAATTAATATTTTATTTTTTGTTAAATGCGACTTGCTTTAATTTGATCGCCATTTTTTTGCGATAACTTAGAATTAGTGGACGTAACTATAGATCGTTTGTGTATTTAATGACTTTTTTGTTTGTTACACAAAATATTTGTTTCTATAATGTTTTGTTTAATGTTTTCTTTTCAAATATATTTTTTTTTTATGTATGCTTTTTCGTTTTTAACCTAAACTAAGATTTTTATAACCTAATTCGTCAATTTTGGGACCTAAAAATGTCTCCTTTTATTCATTTTTTAACGACCTAAAATCCGAAGCCTATTATGTTTTTTGACGGTTGTAGAAAAAAAACCTTTAAGGACTACTACTCACAAGGCGCATTACAATGCTAATCTTGAAAATGTTCTAGCACATCTAGATTTTTAAAATATAAAAACATTGCCGATTGGAGTGGAAAATTACTTAACAGCAACACTCTGTAACAAAAATAGTCCATAAAACTTAAAAAATTGATCAACTTCCCTCGTTCTTGAACTACGCTTTTTCGAAAAACTATAAGATTTGAGTTTGCGAATTATTTTTTTTTTATGATAACCGTTATAAGTTAAAATGAAGATATATTGCTATGTAACGTTCAAATAAAGGTGAACAAGTGTGCTACGCATCTGTTTCAAGTAACTTTTTCCATTACGAACTATCTCAAAAACTGGGGTGTTAGGAAAATTCCAAAGTCAAAGGACTCAATTCCGTATTTTTTGGCGACCATACCAAAAGAGTGTCGGCCAATGTTATCTATACCATTTTTTTTTATAACATGCACCAAATTTTGAAATTTATGAATAAAATATTCTTACCCAGTAACGCAAAACTGTTGTGACTTCGTCATCTCGACGAACGTCATATTTTCCACATCTGAATAAGAAAAACCAATGAATACCCCAGTTTTGCTTCCTTTCAGTTCTAACGGATTTATTCCAGCATCCATAACAGCTTCCATGGCCGTTTCCATCAAAACTCTCAGTGCAGGATCTAAATTATCAGCCTGACGATAATGGAGCCCAAAATACCCAGCATCCACTTTGTTAATATTATTAACGTGAGCACTTCTTTTTGGTACATCGGGGTGATCGATTTTCCATCTTTTTTCATTTTCGGTAACCATCTCCGTTTTGTTAAACAGATTGTCACGAAACTCGTAGACATTATCGGATTCTGGAAAGCGACCAGACATTCCAGATATGACCACTTCTTCGCCGGCCGGCGGAGAGGACAACCAACGACCATATTTAAAATTAACGTCAAATAATTCTTTTTCTTGAATTTCGTTTAGTTCCATCATGATCTACCCAACAACGTTAACAACCTAAAGGCAAGCAAACACAAAAAAAATCACGAAGTACTGTGCACTAGGTGTGAAAAAAAAAATTATTATTTTTGTGGCGAAATGTTTAGTTATTTATAATTTTTTTGACCGGAAATGGAGGGGAATTTTAGGGGATTAAAGTGCGTGTAGAAAAAATTTACATTTTAATGAGTTCCAGTGAGCCAAACATTTCAACACATAGTCCATGAAGAGTGGACGGTTAAACCACATATAGACCAAATAATATGGTGAACTTTTAAACTTAACTGTATCTTAAGAAGTTTGTTAATGTTTTACTATGTAACAGTAACCTTAAAATGTGTGTAATATTTCAAAATAATAGGCTCTACAGTTTTGAAAATTGTTTAGCCAAATGAAAAACAGACAAGACGATACACTACAAACTACGGAATATTTCAACAAAAAAACTAAAAAAATTAACTAAAGTAGTCCAGCAAATAATCCCTAGTTTTGCCTATTTCATTTAAAAATTGAGTATTTAGCTCTTGAGATCCCATGAATCATATTTTAATATTCTAAAAAATTTACAACGTTTGTGATTTAAAGTTTCTATTAAAAAAATGCAAATGTAACCGAGGTCATTGTGGTCTCTGTCAATGTTCTTACATTACCGTGAACTTGAACTTGTTTGGTAACACCAGCGACTACATTTTATTATTTTTGGTGGCATTCACCCTATCATTTTAATAAATTTGAATGACAACTCTGACAACACTTTTCATTCATATTAATGACAATGAAATTTTTGTAAATCTCCAAAATTTCGATTAGTGGTTGCAAAATATACAAACAAATCAGATGTCGTTGAAATTACCCTAGACAAACTTAACTTAGGAAAGTGGAATAAATATGTAACAGTTTGATATAACGGGTGTTCAATTGAAAAACCACTCAAAGTAGGCGTTGGAGTTTCATTATACACAAACGGCATGTCTGTTCTTATAACATCCATTTGGCAGGAACATATTCTGTTGTAAGTTATATGTTATAAGAACAGACATGCCGTTTCTGTCAAATGATATTCCAACCCCTAATCTGAGTGATTTTTCAATTGAACACCCGCTATTTGCATATGGGTGACACCAAGCTGCTCATTTGTAAATAAAAAACTAAAATCTGACTATATAATTTTCTACCCAGTCATGACAAATTTCAGTTCTAACAAATTTATTCCAGCACTCATAATTGCTTCGATAACCGTTTTCATCAAAACTCTTATGACAGATCTATATTATCAACTTGAAGATAATATAATCCATGATACCCAGCATTAAATGTGTTAATACAAGGTGTACAATGATTTTCATCTTTTAATAATTGGAAGGTATTATTGTAATTTTAACTGTAGGTTGCATAACTACAAAATACTCTTGAAAAGTGATTAGATAATGATGTAGGTATCGAGGACAACTCGATCGCTGAAGGGATAAAGCTGATTCAATTTCTGCTTAATTTTTCTAGTTGTTTTTCTAATTTCTTTCCTGAAGTTGGCGATTTTCCGTTTAACAAAGTCGGCGATCTTATATTGCGCATGCCACAAGTAGACACAAAACAACGGTTTTACGTTTTCTAACTTTCGCACTTTTAACGTTTCTGTAAAAGTGAAAAAGAAAGACACTTGCAAAAAAAGACAATTTATTTTGGCTATAAAAAAGGGTGAAAGTCGTTATTGTCAGGTAGGTAATTCGTTCCATTAATACTTCGAGATTGAATGCAAGAGTGATTGTATTCTGTAACCGCTTGTAAGCAAGAATATCGCGAATACCTTGATTTGCAAATTCACATTAGAGGAGATGTAATCAACAGATTTGTTCGAACTGCAGTCTCAACAAAGGGAAATCTTCTCCCTTCGTTATCTCAGGAAGTTGTTGATGATTTGAGATTTCGAACTGGAGGTGTCAACAAAGGGAAATCTGGAAGACCTTCAGTATCTGAGAAAGTTGTTGTGGATTTGAGATGACTCAATCAGAATACACAAATATCTTTGACAAGATTGTCTCAGCAGTCAGGAGTTCTTGTTGCAACATGAAATTTAACAATGTGTCCAAAGCATTGACGAAAGGATGTCACAGAACATTTTTAAAATTAAAAAGAGAGTGAATATGTGTAATGAATTAGTTTTATTTTTTTGATGTATGAAGAATTTAGGCCACCAGCTATACAGATGCGTGTGGTATTTGTAGTGCATCCTTGGGCATTTAGTAACATTCGCATAAAGTAATAAGCGGCACACATCCATGACCTACTTCGACCCTATAATCATTTGTAGAAACCCTATATAGCATACGAAAATCCACAGGACACAGTAGATGCCTTTGGGGAATTATTTTCTGACATGTTCCTGCCAGGAGAATCAAAGTTAAAAGGACCTGGGTGGGTTAGTTAGCATCGTGGCCGCTACACCTTGGGTCGTGGGTTTGATTCCCGCCCTAGCTCTGGGTGTTGTGTATGTCCCGTTCCCCTGTAATTGGGCCTCTGATGATCAAATTACTAGCTTCTTAATGCACGATGCCAGATTTGTTCTGGCAAAACCGCTGATGTTCATCATTAACATGGCAATTTCAAATTCAATATTTCCGAGTCGAGGGAAACGACCTAGGATAACACCTATTTTGAAACAGATTCATAAGAAGCAACTAAAAAATTATAGACCTGGAAGATCTGCACAGACTAATTGTGGATGAATCTTTCTGCAAAGGTTCCCATCCCGCACGGTCCAGAAAATGCCCTGAATTCCTCAATCTAACGATCACAGACGAGACCCAAACCCTTCCCACAATCATCATCGACCGACCGACCGAATTCGCTGACCCCGTCGACATAACCGACGAAGCATCCGAGGAAGTCAACCTTTCACATATGCATGCGAAAGCCCTCACCGCTTTCGTCACCAAAATCCTGTTTGACCTCTTTCCCCTGAACAGACCCAAAGCCCAACAAGCCATTCAGCACGCCTTCCCTAGAGGTCTTCAACCTGAAAACCCGAATAAATCATTCGGGTCGGCTTATTTACTTCACCTTTTACGCATAATGCGTAGTCCAACCAACGTGCATGTTTTCGGTATGGAGCTCTAATACCGAGTCTACCCGATTCGCCAACCTCAGAGAGTACACGATCGCCGTCTGTCTAGACATTGAGCGTACATACATTTGACAAGGTCTGGCATGATGATTTAATCTACAAACTCATCAAACTCCGAATTTATCAAAAACTCATAATTTGGCTCTCCAGGACCTAGTTGACCACACGCTGACGTCCCCGCCCCCCACACCGCCCCCACAACACCACGGACACGACCCACCTGGACCTACTGGACTCCTCGCTAAGTGAATCAACTGAATAATAATCGTTCCCGACGGTGGTCTCTATTTAAAGCCATGCATTCCTCTAAATGAATCGCGACCGCCGCTTCGAGGTTTTTCTGGACGCCGCAAACGAGACTTCCGGTAACCCGCTCCAAGCTTGTCTTTATGCGAACGCCGCCTGGCACCCATCAACACCGTACTTAGTAAAAAAGCCTTGATACCATTTACATAGGCGTCGTACCGTAAGGGAAAATTTAGCACGATTTAGTGTCGAATTGTTTGCGTTAAACCACTCAGAAGTCTTCGACAGTAGTCTCCTCACCTTATTAAACTGCATTACAGTATTTTTACATTCACAATCTACATCTGATCATTCTCAAAAGTAAAAAAAATGGTCCAAGAACAGCACCTTGGGGGCTCTCATGTATCTCGGTAGAAGTCCTGAGTCTTGACTATTAAATTTTATTAATTGTCACCTGTTAATTAAGACTAATGTACAGTCTGTCGGATGTAGATTGTAAAAATATAGCTTCCTATTCAAGAGAATAGGACGTACATAATCGAAGATTTTCAACAGATCTAGAAAATAGATCACACCTTTTCCAATATAAATAATAAGTTCTAAAGTTGCTGAACTAGTATCCAGCCCTCTTCTTACTGCGAGAATTTTGTGTTTTTTTTTCTAAGTAGTCATGTATAACCTTCTCCAAAATTTTGGAAAAAATTGGAACTACTGTTTCATTGGTCTGTAACATTTATATCGTTGCGTTCTTTTCTATAATACATATAACATAATGAGATTTCTAGTAGACGCTCCCATAATTATGGCTAATACAACTGGCCAGGTTTATTTACATTTTGGATAATTACAAAAAGAAAGGAAACTAGACTATTTTTTTTATTTAAAATTATGATTTCAGGGCTACAATTTCGCTAATAGCTTTAACAAGATCGGGACTATTTAAAACTGTTGCATGGTCACCATCTATCGTAGTTACTTCTGCCAGGTTATCGCATATTTTAGACATTTGATAGTCATCTTCTTCGTCAATCATGGAAAGTTTTGCCTTGAAAAGATGTACTAATGATTTAATTTTCTCATTTTTAAATGTATAGTTCAGTACAGCTTTACATCGCATATACAACGCAACAGCTGCCTGCTTTTCTAACTTCTGTTTGTTAATTGCTTCGGAAGGTAACGAAGCCAACAACAAATCCATTCGTTCTTCTAAATCTTTGCACTTCAGCAATGTGTCCTAAAAGAAACGCATGCGCACTGTAGTTATACACATGGAAATAAGTAACTCGATTATCCGTTACCTCATGTTGCGCAAGTATGTCCAATGGAATAACAAAAGAAGCGATTTTGTTTAAAATCGCAATTTGGAAGTGAGCTTCAGTTTCATGGGCGAAATGTTTTTTTAAAGAAGAAGTTAAATATGTTGGTGAACCGTCGATTAAAATCATGATAATATTATGACCCTTCTTTTCTAGCAAACAGATGATTTCTAGGCCGACTAAAGCCCCAAATGAATGTCCAACAATGTAAATGGGGTTTTTTCTGGATAGATAATTTTGAATGTGCTGAAAATATAACACAGTAATGAAATAATTTTAAAATATATAAATTTTAGCAAACCGGCAGTGTATTCTGTGCAGTTTCTTGAATACTGTCCTTTGGATTGTTATAACTGTACCGTATTCCTATTACGTGTGCGTTTAACGAACTTGTCAAATATTCTAGTGGTTTGAAATCGCCTTCCACTCCTGGTAACACCAAAACAATTGGAGCTTCTACACCTGAATCCACTTGACTATTTAAAGTTACAGCACCCAACTCAACATTTTCGCCACTGGGAATAAATTGGATGAGCAAATTTGTGCCTTCCTCTATCTTTTCGTCTACAATGTTTCCAGATTTTTTCATTTTATCTGCCTCCATTTCAGTCAGTCTGAATTTCAACAATAAATTAGGTACTACATTTTGGTAATGATACAATAATTACTTTGCAAATGTTAAAGTCATCACTTCTTTAGGTGTTACGTAAATTTCAAAATCTTTCTCTAAAATTTGGTTAATCTCTGTTCCCATCATCGAATCCATCCCGAGTTCTGCAAATGTCGTGTACTGACTTATAGTTTTCATATCTTTTACTCCTAAAACATTAGCAACCGCTTCTACTGCACTAAACGCGCCACTTCTGTCGTGTTTTTCGGCAACTACCATACTAGAAACAACCGGGTAGTTATGCTTTAACAGGACATCTAACGCTTCAAGACAGCTTGAAATTTTTTGTTGAAGGGTACCACCAATCACTAACTCTTTGTTATCTTTTTGCAATTTTGCCACCAAGCCAACCTTCAAAACATTTGTAATCTCACGAAATGTGGAAAAATTTGTTAAGTACTTCACCGATCGCGCCCCATTGGATGGCTACAGCTGGTAATCCGTCTCGTTTTCGATTCTCACATATCCTTTCCATAACAGAGTTTGCCATACCGTAGTTGCTCTGACCCGGGTTCCCACGACCACAGGATACTGATGAAAATACAACAAAATACCTAAAACCTATCATCAGAACCAAAAGGCACCTCTGAGTTAAAAGCAAACCTTAATTTTCGGCACAACTTCCTAGTGACTCGATCCAAATATAGTGTAGCGTGAGCTTTTGGCGCTAACGAAGCTTCAAAATTTTCTTGAGTTTGATTTTGAAATAGCGCGTCTTTAAGGACAACAGCTAAGTTAAAAATAGCATCAACAGGTCCAAGCGCATTCGCTTCTCTAACTAAATCTTCGCATCCTTGTTCAGTGGTTACGTCTGTCGTGGATATTGTAACTTCAACACCGTATGTTTTCCAAACACTAAAATTAGTAAGTTTATGTCTTTACTGCGTGATGGAATTATTAGTTACTTTATTCTTTGCTGATGGTAACCATTTTGAACACCCGATCTCGAACTTAATACCAGTTTTCTTGCACCTCTCAGAATCAACCAGTCAGTTAATTCTAAACCGACGCCACCCAGCCCTCCAATTACGACGTACGTATAACGTATGTCACAGTTGAAACTGAAACAAAATAGTTTTAGAATATTCATTTTGTACATATTCAAGGCATACAGTTTCATCTGATGTTAAACAAAAGAAGGAAAATTCGTCAGATGGCAAAGGGTATTTGTCATGAAATACTGAGCCCTCATGCGAACAACAGAAAAGTCGTTTTTCAATTTAAATCCAACAGTTAACAAAAATGCAAAAGTGAACGTATATCAAAATATTACACGGCTCAAAGGCGGAGCAGTGCAATTGACGAAATAGGAAAATGTGTACAAAATTCTGAAAAGATTCGTTTCTTTTAAAATTACTCCGCTTCTGAATGCTTCTTCACATTTGTTGTTCATGTGTGAATCTAGCTATTGTTACGATGATTGGTGATTAAAAATCGGCGTGGGTCAAAATCAACAATTTATTTCTTAGCAACTCAAATTAACACGACTAATTGCACAGCAATTATGTACAAAATAATTTCGGGGCCACTTGACTGGATTCTACTCGTTGTTCTATTTAAAACCACACTTCCTTTCTAGATGTTCCGCGGTCGAGGTTTTTCTAGAGTACCCATCGCGACTTCCGCTTCCAGGCTTGTCGTTAGCGAACCCTGCACGGCCGCCGTCAGCGACGATGAGTCACCATGCATACTAGAAAGCTCTCGACGGCTCATAAGCGTCGTACCGGGGTGGGTTTTGTGATGGCTTCTTGTTTTAAATAATGTCGTACGTTCGGATGAAGCAACATTTTGAGCAACAGTTTGAACAATTTCTATAGCATAAGGTTTTACCCCAACGTATTGTTCTGTTTATTTAATTTTTATCATTCAAGTAAAGATTATTTTGTTTGTCATTAATTTTCTTAATTTTTTTGTTATGCAACCATCAATTTACATTTTCATTGTAGAAAAATAAAAATAATAAATAACAAATAGTGCAATCAAAATTTTTGACGTACTTTTGTAACACGAAATCCAATTTTGGCAACATGTTTTTGAATCGGTATAACACTACCTGTTTTCAATGATAACCTACCGTGGATTAGACATGATCTGGAATTTATTAGCATTGTCTTGTTCTTCATTCCGTAGCTTAATCAATATTCTCCCAATATGTTGACCTGACATCATGTATCTGTACGATTTTTCAATCTCATCTGCATTGAACACAATCCTGGGAAGTGGTTTAACAAAACCAGCTCCAATTCCCTCTACTAAACGTTTTACGAGTTTGGTCTTCATTTCCTTAATATCTCTAAAAACATCATCCAAAAATATTCCATGGTAACTAGCCTCTTTTTCCATGAGCAAAAGATTTAAAGAGCTGTCATTCGCCAAATCGTATTTGCCAATTTCCAAAAACTTTCCTTCTTGTGCTAAACACCTAATCGAAGCCTGCAGCTTATCCTCACTTAGAGAGTTCAAAATCAGGTCAATTCCTTTATTCCGGGTTTGTTTTTTGATCATCTGTTCAAATGAGGTGTCTCGTGAATTACCAATATGGTCATCTGGAATTTGTGGATAATTTTCTTTCAAATACACTCTTTTTTCCTGAGTGCCAACTGTTACGTAAATGTCACATTTATAATGAAGACAAATGTTCAAGGCAGCTAGTCCGATACCACCAGTGGCGGAGTGAATAAGAACTGAAGAACCCGATTTCATTTCGCCAACCTTAAAATCAAATTATTCCGGAAATTATATTTTTTCATGTACTTACCATTAAAAGAGCGTAAAGAACAGTGGAATAGACAACAGGAACCGTTGCTGCATCTTCAAGCGTCCATGAGTCTGGTATTGTCCAAAATAAGGAAGAATCGAAAGTAACATAAGATGAAATACCTTGAGTGTTAGTCATTCCAGCTATTCTGCGACCACTGTAAATAAAGTATGCACCAATGCTTTTACTCCAACAAAATAATACAACCTTAGATCTATTCCTGAAAATTCAAATCCTATGAGAAATTCTTGATCAAGTCGATGCGATTGTAATATTTCGGGGTTTACACGCCCAGAAGCGGCCATAACATCTTTAAAGTTAATTGACGAGTAGCATGTCTAAAAACACTAGTCGTTTCCATATTTCATTATAATGTGTAACTTACTGAAACTAAAAGTTGTTCTTCTTTCAGTGGAACTTCTTTACATAAAGCTCCTTCTAACCATTCGAAACTGGATATGTCTCCTCTCGATTTAAAATATGCGTAAGAATGTTCACAGTTAATCTTCGGCCTCTCTTCCAAGAGCAAATGTCGATATGTTCCCCAAGATTTATCCTTATAAATGTTTATAGCCAAGTTTTTATTGATTTGTTTACTATAAAACGAATGTTGGGGATCAAATTCCGGAGCATCGTCCATCATGAAGAAACACTTAACTAAGTTTCCATTGCTTTCTCGTCTGATGCAATTTATTAAACCCAATATTCCTTCGGGATCTCGATTTGTCGCATGAGTTATAACATCTTTTCCAAGATTTAAAGCTTTTTGTAACACTGGGATCCAGTTGACATTACTCGAAGATACTTCAATGAACTTGGGTTCATAATTTTCAACTTTTTTCTTCATTAAAAATATTCTTTCATTGGGTGTTACATACTCAGTTACAATGTCTATTTCATCAATATCGTTTTCTAAACTGAAACTGATATCTTCTCGTGTTAGGATAAATCCATTTTTGCTAAGAGGCACAAAACTTTGTTTTAAAGTATTTAGTTGTTGTAGAATTTTACTACCAACGTACAAAAGTATGTTGCTTTCATGTGTTAACGTAACATTTTCGATTTTTATACCAGGTGTCTCAGTTACCGTTGTTTTTGACGAAATGGTTAAGTCAGGAGTTAGTAAAGGAATATGTTCTAGGGTTTTATTGACAAAACCTAGAATGTGTTCAGCATTTGGGTCCGTGAATTCGTTGATGATTTCCACAGCTTTGAAATTAGTCTCTAAACTATTTTCTAAGATTATCTGGGTATTAACTCTCACTGCTTCTTCTAAACCTAACGATACATTATTTGGGATAAATACGTTCTTTTCTAAAACTGGTTCCAATCGTTGTTTTTTCTTGAAAATGGATTTTACTTGTACTCCATGTATCTCAATTCCACCAGCTCTAAACAGGGTAAAATTCTTTTTTAACTGTAAATTTAGTGAGTGGTTTATTTACTTGATGAAGTTGCAATACTTGTTCGCATATACAGGTAGAAGACATTCTTTTGCATCCTGTTCGTTCACAATATCAGTGTGTTTTAATGGATCTATAATTATTTTCTTTATGCCAATAGGTACGAAAAGTAACCTTGTGTCACACTGAAGAATTTTCATTTGAAGCATATTATCCATAAAAGCTGACCAATTGTTCTCCCATTTAATCAGTCCTGTAGAAGCGTCTGCATTGCATCGTTTAATTGATTTGAATAAACCGCTAAAAATATTATATAACGAGCTCTGCTTTATCGTTGTCAAACTAACCTGTAATTGTAACCTCGTAGGTAAAATTCCCGATAAATATCGTCTTGTTTCAATATTTCTAATTTATTGTCACTGAAGGAATGAAAATTTGGTAGATTAACTTGTTGTTCACTTGCATTTGGACAGTGATGAATTCGACCACTAACTATCATCGAATCTTTCTCTAAAATCTCAAATTTGCCTGTGCCCCTTTGAATCGTTATAAGCAGTTTTACGTAACCACTCTTAGGCAATGTAACAGCTCTCATGAACTTACAGTCTTCAAATACTACAGGAATATCGGACGATAATAATCGTCGACTTTGTGCATATGTTTGCCAAACTAAATGTAAATATTCGGTAGCAGGGAGAAGGTTACGTCCTAAAAACGTTTTTAATGTTAGTAACTTATGTTCTAAAGAAAACCCTGCTAAAATACTATGAAACTTATTTTTACTTTCTAAGTAAGTTAAAGATCGAGTCTATCGGGCGATTGGCTACTTTCACGTTACATGCATTGACTTGTTTTAAATAATAAATTTCAAGAACTTCTAGACGAGTTTCTTTCTCGTGCATATGGGGTATTCCATAGGGCAGGTTTATACTTATCAATTACCATCAATGCAATGGCCACTCATAAACTGATGGTCCTCGTATAACAATGAAATTCTGTGGACTCTCTGTTCAGTGTCCCATGAGGTAAAGTCACTAAATTTGTATGTGGTCCATGATTTGTCGTGATTCCATTGAACAGAAGGTGAGACCATGGAGGTGCCTCTACTCACAGGGAATTTTATTTGAGGGTACAGTTTATGAACTTGGGGAAGGTAACCTTGTGTATATAACCTACAAATTTAATTCGTGTTGTTTAAATTTTATTGCTACAAAATTCTTACCGTCCCAACAAATCCAGTAAATTGACGTCACCATTTTGTACTAGTAAATTATCTTCACCATTGAGCGGCAGGTCGGATATATTTAGTATAACAGCGCCTTTCGATGATTTAATAAAATTTTGACAAGTCAAATAATCCCCCTTTGTTTGGTTTTTCTCTTTTGAATCCGCTAAGTCTGGTAATGTTTGGAAATTCAAATTAGCATCAGAATTCATTTGACTAAATTCTATAGCTGCTGATACAGCTTCTTCCAGTTGAACAATATTGTTATAATAAGCAGTAGCGATTTTGTTACCGAAAACACAAGTAGGAAAACATTCCAAATCTTTGATAATATCTACCAATATTAACTGCACACATATTGACCCTAATGCATCTTCATTTACTTTTGTCTTGGCGTCTAAAAGTTCTTTAAGCGTTTTTACGTTGTTGCGCACAAGAATTTGATTGATGCTTTTGTCAAAAAAAAGATTTTAGTTAGGTACCCACAAATAAAACTGTAACATACCTTGTTTCGAAGTATTCGAAAATCGAAAATTTTTTCAAGTAAGAAGCCAGTATGCGGAAATTGTTGACGAATTGTCCGAAAAATAAGTGCAAGTGTGGTTTTTTAGAAGGCATTAATTTTGATGATACAGACACCACACCACGTTTTGAAACGATTGCATATCCTCTATAGAAATGGTTTGGGGTATTAGTTTTATATAACTGGTGGAGGAGACCGACATGTTCTTCATCCAAGCTTTTGTTACTAACGTCGTTTAAAATTTTCAAAACTGCTTCATTAGTGCGACCACTGACACAAATTAGTCTGGGAACATCATCTTTCGGCAGTCCACCATCGATTTTACGTTTTTTAAACCTTTGTAGTATCATATGACAATTGTTACCCCCAAACCCAAAATTATTAACACCTACAACAGCATCATGCTCTAAAAGCTCAGTAGTTTCCGTCACAATTTTCATTCGGTTTTGTTCAATCCCTTCCAGTCCTTTTCGAACTCTTCTCAAGTTGATATTAGGTGGTATGAGTCCGGTTTCCATTGCAATCAGTACTTTTACGATTGAACACAAACCTGAAACAGGTTCAGTATGACCAATATTTGACTTTACTGAACCCACGAGAAGCTCCTTTCCACAATTTTTGGCCAAAGCCCTGTCTATAGCATTAGCTTCTTCAGGATCACCAGCTTGGGTGCCAGTACCATGTGCTTCAACGTAGCTGAGTTCTGAGAACTCAATGCTACTTTCTCTGTATATTTCAGTCATAAGTTCTTCCTGCACTCGCGAAGAAGGAAATGTTATCCCTTCCTTTTTAAAACCGTCGGTATTCACTTTCGTGTTAATAATTTGTGCGTAAATTCGTTTTGCATTTTTTGACTTTTGCAGCAAAAAACATGTACAAGCCTCACTTCTAACGTAACCGTTTGCGTCCTGATCGAATACTCTAGGTATTCCTTCCGGACTTAAAACTCCTAAGCTAAAAATGTATTGTTGTAACAAAGAAATTATTATCTTGGAATTTTTACCGAGAAAATTGAATTGTAACGCCAGGATGGATAGTCAAATTACAGCTAGCGACTATTGCATTTTCACATTCACCGCTTCTCATAGACTTAAAGGCTGAATGAAGAGCATTCCCAGAACTGCTACAAGCTGTGTCGACTATGAAAGATGGTCCTTTTAATCTCAAATAATAACTGAGACGATGGGCCAACAAAGATTTAAGAAAACTGAAAGAAATACATTGTTAATAAAAATTAAGTATATTTTATTTTTAGATGAATACATTTGCGCAAACGTTCAATTGCTGATGTTTTTAACTCTCGTCTTAGTAATACGTAGTACCCGTTAAGATTTTATCAAAAACAATTTTATCTCGTTATTTAGATTCCAAAAAGATTAAAGATGATTACTCATCTCATGTTTATAAAATTCTCACGGGAGGGGAAATTCATGAAGATAAATTTAAAAAATTATTTAGAAAATTTTGAGACGGCGTTTTCAATTGTTCTGCAGGAAACATTAAACAAGCGTCAAAAATATTTAAAAATTTTATTTGCAAAAATTAAAAATGAAGGAAGAACTTCATTTGATAAAAATTTTGTCAGAACTTACAAAAAAATGAATATTCTTGATATTCTTTCTTTGGCGAAGTTAGACAACACACTTTACAGGTTTTGTGTTTTGAGGATTTGCGCCATATAATCCATGACTTTGTGAATGTATGACAGGAAAACCATGGATGTAGGAGTGATAGATCTTCGGCTTGTCGCGAATGTGGACTTTGTTATTACTATTATTATTATTAGGAAAGCGATCGGGCAGAGACTCGTCTGTTATGCCCTCGCTAAATCAAGTGATGGTAAAAGTGAAGAAACTAAGTTTTAGAACAATGGTTGTCATATTTGGTTTAGCTAAAATTTGATGGTTTCGTTGCTCTTTCCGAGCCCGTAGGGTTTCTGATGTTTAAAACTACAACAAAACACTTCAAAAGTGACGTTTCTGAAGAATTTTAACAATTTTCTTGTATCTACGAACGCTAGAATGCATAAAATTGACCCAAACGTCTCCTTTTCCTAATCTGAGACGATTCTGCATGCTCTAAGTGTGTTTCGTCGCTCAGAATCTTCAAAAAATGTTGAAATATAGTTCAGATTTAATAAAAATCGACAAAAATACTGTTTCTACAGATGAGGCTAAAACAATATCTTTCGGCCAATCATCCAACACTCTATTCGTTATGAAGCTCTGTCTTACAGTGGTGCGAAATTTGACTTTGAGCAGTTTAAGTGGATGACCTCTTGTGAGATCAGATGTGTTCAGTGGAAATAGGCATTTAAGTGGTGAAAGATCGTTGTTCAATGCCAGGTATATATCTATAAGGTAAACGAGAGAGCATAAATTCATTTTTGCCAAATGGAATCCTAGGGGCCTTTCGTTGTACAGCCTCCAAGAAGAAAATATCTCTTTGGAGGACAGGACTCCAGACTCCGTTGGAAAATTCCAGGATGGGTCTAACGTAAATACGTTTTGCAAAGTTCGAAAAAACTAGAAAACTGGCTTTGACAAATGTTTGGCTTAAAAGACAAAGCATTTTATTAGCCTTTTTCGTGATCTGCAAGACATGGTCAGACCAAAGGAGGCTGAAGCAAACGTGAACACCGAAATCCATATGACATTCAGTGGTGGCAAACCCGTAGCTTCCGATATTATACACGTGTCGGGATTTCCCTTACCAAAATGCAAGGTAACGCATTTGTCTAAGTTTATGGGCAATAACCAAACTTGAAACCATTTGTAAATCGAACAAAGGTCAGATGATAAGAATTAAAAATTTTCGCAGCTGGTGTAAAGCTTGATGTCGTCTGCAAACATGGCAAAAGACAATGTAATAATATTCTTAATGTCGGCTATGTACGCGATAAAAAGCAGAGGACCAACTACGGACCCTTGAGGCACTACACCCAGAACATCAATAGATCTACTGACAGTGTCTCCAACCTTCATTCTAAAGATTCATTTAGAACTTTCCAAGTCTCTATGCCCCATCCACTGGTCTCTTTTTGATCGGATTACCCACATCCACTCTCAAAAAATACTAGACCAAAAGAAACAAGTCCATATCCGGAAATTTCAATCCCTTGCTCCAAAACCAAAAAATCGGTTCCCGCATTGAACGTGAGATCACAACTGTTTTGAGATCGGGTGACTTCCCAACCGAGGTACTCAAACGTCTAACACCCCGAAACTGCAAACCACCACGTATGTACGGTCCACCCAAAATTCACAAAAACAATTGCCCTCTCAGACCCATCGTTAGTACTTATAATACAGCCCAATATCAACCCCGTATTCTGAAGGAATATACCGGAAAGACCTCCTCACATATTCTTAATTCCTCACATTTTGTCCAACTAATCTCCGAAATCTCTCTTGACCCCGAAGATAGAATTGTCAGTTTTGACGTAACATCTTTATTCACAAAAGTCCCTGTAGCAGAGTCCTTAACATTAATCCGTGAATTGCTTTCCAGTGACGGACAACCTCCACTTCTTGGTGATGTCGCAGAGAAATGTCTAACCTCCACATATTTTACCTTCCAGGGCCAATTCTACAAACAAATCTCTGGTACTCCCATGGGAGCCCCTCTCTCACCAGTCGTTGCCAATATTTTCATGGAAGCTTTTGAAGACACAGCCATTGAATCCGCCCAACTCAAACCCAAAATCTGGTCAAAACGCCCTTTCAGTCTTTCACGACCATCTCAACAGTCAACATCCCGACATTCAGTTTACCATGGAAGTGGAAACCAACAATTGTCTTCCTTTCCTTGATATTATGGTAACAAGGTTACCCGAAGGTCGACTTGGTCATTCAGTCTATCGAAAACCTACCCATACCGATAGATATCTTCACGCTACGTCTCATCATCACCCCGCCCAAAAACGGTCTGTCATTGACTCCCTAATTCATCGAGCCATTACCATTTGTCAACCAGACAAAATCCAGAATGAGTTAGAACATCTCCAAACATCTCTTCGACAAAATGGATTCGACTACCGTACTATCAACTCAGCCATCCAATGTCGACTCGATCCCAACTTTGACAACACTGCAAATCGTATAACTAATCTCGTATCGGTTGCATATATCCTATTTATTTCTCAGGTTATCGATCATCTTCAAACCTACAACTAAAATGACACAAATTTTTCCTTCCGTCAAAGATTCTCGCCAAGCTCTAGACTGTAGAGGAGTATACAGCATTCCCTGCTCCTGTGGTGTGAAATATATAGGAGAAACTGGTAGGTGCATAAAAATTCGAATTCAAGAACACAAACGTTATCTCAGAGCAGGCCTTCTGACTCACTCTGCCGTAGCTGAACACCAACATGAAACCGGTCACACCATCCTGTTTAAAAATTCTCAAGTTCTGTCCAAAGAACCACATTTCTATGACCAGAAAATCCGTGAAGCTATTGAAATCCATAAATGTCCACATAACCTCAACCGAGACAATGATTATTATCTGTCAAATTGGAAGCCCGCGCTCGAAGCAAATGTTCGTTCCTCTCCCCCCACTCCGCCAGAAGTCGGCCAATCAGCTTCAACCACGACGGTAGGCCGTAACCAAATTCTTCCCGTCAAAAGAGTTTCGCCTCTGGTATAGTTGACATACTGAGTTACCGTGCTCTTTTGCCTTATTCTTAATCATGCTCCTGAAGATGCCACTTACGAAAGTGTGCGAAACGTTGAGTCCAAAAACTCAATTTACACGGTTCCAACCCGGAAAACGGTCATGTATTGATTTCGACCGTGGAAACCTCCGAAGTTACTTCATTCTAAAGGGTCGATCACTTAGGAATGAATCAGTCAATCGATGCAAATTACGCCGTAGTCCAAGATGGTCTAATTTGTGTGTGAGTCGGCCTTTCGAAACTCTGTCGAACGCCTTAGAGAAATCAAGATATACGATATCCAACAATCGTTCTGAATCTGCATCTTTTGTCCAGTCGGACACACAGCACAAGAGGTTAGACTGAACTGAGCTGGTCACTAGAAATGCCATCATGTGGTCGTATATTATGGATTCGATCACCTTAACCACAAGAGATGTTAAACTGACAGGCCGGTAATTAGAAGCATCAAACGTATCGTCTTTTTTGAAAATCGGATGAATTATTGTCGTTTTCCAGTCTAAGGGAAGTTCTCCCGACTTGAAAGATTTTTCCATCAAAATTGAGAATGGAACCGCGAAGGAGTCCGCACAATTTTTCAAAATATTGGCCGAAATAAGATCTGGATCAGGGGATTTTTACGTTTTTATTTTCTTAATTTACCCAAAACTATCTCGCTAGAAAAACACGGGTCTTCAATACAAATACAAATGTCTGCAAATATATATATTTTTTACATATACGACCTTTACCAGGTTTCATCCAGAAAAAGGGGTTTGTATAATTTTGTTTTTTTGTGGTTATAGACCAACACTGCAGAACGCCTCTTCATAAAACAAAATGTGAAAAAACAAACCCTACAAACATCAATACGAGAAACTTTCTCTGCTAATACAACCAAAAATGGAGAGGAAACATTCAAGTTCGATTTATGCCAGGCCATGCTTATTTTGGACATATTTCATGCATATTTTAGCAATTTTTTGCATATAATGCCAAATTTCTCTGCATATACAGCCTGTTATTGAAAGGTACGTACAAAATAAAGTCGGCAATTGGTCTCGAAGTATGGGTGCTAAAAGTTAAAAAAAGTTCAGGTAAAAGTGTTCTCCTTTTAGAGATAAAAATTATTAAAATTTATGTCCAAATTCGTTGTACGCCTCTGATACAAAGATCATCTTTCGTTTCTATAGCAACATTTAGTCTTTACCAGAGCTGTTCAGTACTTCAAGTAAAAGTACTTGAAGTAATACTTCAAGTACTTTAAGTACTTCAAGTACTTTACTTGAAGTACTTTTATATTTAGGTACTTGGTACTTGGTTCTTGGAGTATTTCTAAAATGTACTTGAGTTTAGTACTTGATTTTGCCAAGTACTTTACTCCAAGTACTTCACTCAGTATTTTAAATACTCTTGAATTACTTGAAGTATGAAAGTGGAAATTTCAAATACTTTAGTCTCTATTTTAGGAAGTTTTCACATCTCAAAATAGGGTCTGTTAAATTCTTGAAGTTATTAATTCAATTATTTGATTAGATGTATTTTTATAGTAA